ATGCATGAGTAAGTAATTTGTGAGAACAACATGACATTTTAAATATATCCCACTCCATCCCCACAATTATGTTTCCTGACAGACGATCGGTTTATACTTCAAAAATTTTCAAAGAGCAAGAAATCTTATTTGAAAAAAAAAACAAATATGTACGTGGGCACGCGTCTGTTTTCCATATCGATTGCTACAAAGAAAGAAAGAAAGAAAGAAAGAAAGAAAGAAAGAAAGAAAGAAAGAAAGAAAGAAAGAAAGAAAGAAAGAAAGAATTGCCAAAACTAAAGACAGAGCTAAGTCAGTGAAAATGATTTTTTTTACGAATCGCAAATTAAGTGGGCAGAAAGACTGCAAATGATATTGTACGAAAGGATTAAAATAGTTTCAAAATTTAAAGTTCGTCTCAAGCGTTTTAGTTCGAACGACTGACCTAATGGCAAAATGGCAGTATGCTACCGTCATGTGACTACACTGGGAATTCTGAGAATAGATCAAACCCGCTTGATCCTCCACTCCGGGCGATTTTTGAAAAATTAAAACGCAATCCTTCTCCCCACCCCACCCCACCCCACCCCACCCCAAAAAAAGAAAATTACCAACTCCTTCCCCCAAGGCAACAAAGAATTACTGACCAAGTAGAATGTACGGGATACTTGACCAGTGTTAAATAGTGGGTAGCACGACAACGAAATAGCATAAATAAGAAATGAACAACATAAAATAATGTATATTTTTGTAGCAGTTTATGCAAGGATTAGGAAACTAATGGTATTTTCAAATGAAGGTGTGTACACATTAAAGGCAATTTTATGGAGTTGATTACACATTACGGGTGTGATGTGTCGAATTTTGAAAACTCTTAGAAGTTTTGGTTAAAGGAATTGTATCAAAGTCAACTTAATTAAAGTAGAAAGGGCTAGAGATAGATGATTATTTTCATTTCATCTCTGAACGGCAAAAGGGAATTCGTTCTAGCCGACGTAACATGACCGAGTCAGATGCTATGGTACAAGAGAATGACATAAGACCCTTTCCCAAAATCGACCAGGAAAAGGGCAGGAGATGACTATAGATGGTTGTTCAAAGTAATGTTAATTACGGCATGATTAGTTGTTTAGTTGTCTTGTCAATCCAAAAATTGTACGGAACAGGTTTAGGAAACAGTCTATTCCGATTGGTTAATATGGATTATGGGCGTAACTCTGTATGAAATTAAAGGTTTTACTTTAGGAAAATTCTTTAGTCTTCAATCTTACTTGGAAAAAGAGTGGTCGAGACTCCGGGAAGAGCGTGTAAGACGTTATCTCGTGATTTGGCAGTAAAGCGGGAGTTTTGTCTCAGCGAGTAGGCAAACTCTACATTCTGATTTCGTAAAAAGTACGTTTTCATTATACAGTAAGGGGCCAGATAGTTGTCTCAGTTAGGAGACGGACTATACGTGAGGTTCGTGGAAACGAATAAAGAAACGGCAAAAGGTACGCAATCTTAGTCTTCCGATTTTATTATGTTATTTTATTTGTTGATCTATTTCAAATGTATTCTTGATATGATGTATGTATGTATGATTTCGTTTTGCAGGATTTTAGTGAAATGCTAGTCATGACATTTTATTCTTTGATTTTCTAATTATCAATTCATTTGGAGAAGTGTCAAGCTTGAATGTAATTAAAATTTCATTAGATTGGTTGACAACATTGCATGTAACTGAATCTTTAATACATAGGAGTGATTAGGAATTTTCATGAAAGATTTAAGGAATGATGGGTAATATTTCATAGTTTTATGGATTAACTCTGTCTAAAATGAGTATGACCTAACATTACATGTATATGCATATACTAGTTTGTAATATTTAATTGATCACTTAAGTGTATATCTATATGCTAGTTTGTTATATTTAATTGGTCGAGTAAACTATTTTAGAATAGTTAGATCTGAGGGTCTAAGCCATATGTAACTTACCACTGCTAGATTGGTAGAGTAAGAAGTTAGGGGGGGTTACATACGGGTTCATACGGCTGAGTTGAATTTAATTGACCACCCCTAGCGTGATCCGAATTAATGTAAAAATACAGACATGCCTGAGAATGTGACCTATTGTCTATTGCGAGACATTTTATTTATTGAAGGAAACAGCTTTCCTGGATTCACATGAGAAATCCCTGAACAATCACAGGACCAGAACAAGTTCTATGCAGAAATCTAAGTCCAGAGACGATTGTTAAATCAGAGTTCGACGGACAAGAGTCCAGGACGAAACAGCTAGACAAAGATCGGCAGAGCAGGGACGAACGGAAGTCTTGATGTCCGCATAAAATAGGTGATGAAGTATCTCATCGTTGCACTCAAAGGTCACATCTCATTGGCAATGAAGATAGTATGTTAACGTGGAAAGTAATTTTACATTTAAAGAAATTTGTATTGTCTTTTTATTTGAGTACATGTTAGTACCATTTTTCTTCTTTTGTAACCAAGTCATTGATTTCTTTTCATTTTAAATTCTGTTGATAAACTGATTAAGTTTTATATTTGTTTATTGAAAGGGGGCTCGTCGTGTTTATTTTATTTAATATACTTGTTCAGTGATCTGCATTCTTCTTTCCATCTATCCACACTGGGTAAACTACACCGCGGAGGTCATTCCCTAGCAACGAACCGTAGTGAAAGAGGTTGGTGTGGTTTGCACGCCGCCAATTTGTCACAACGGGCAATATTATGGAGTTGAGTACACATAAAGAGCAATTTTATGGAGTTGAGTACACATTAAGGGAGATATCATGGAGTTGAGTACACATTAAGGTCAATTTTATGGAGTTGAGTACACATTAAAAACAATATTATGGAGTTGAGTACACATTAAGGGCGATATAATGGAGTTGAGTACACATTACGGACAATATTATGGAGTTGATTACACATTAAAAGCAATATTATGGAGCTGAGTACACATTTAGGGCGATATTATGGAGTTGAGTACACATTACGGACAATATTATGGAGTTGAGTACACATTGATGGCAATTTTATGGAGTTGAGTACACATTAAGGGAAATATTATGGAGTTGAGTACACATTACGGACAATATTATGGAGCTGAGTACACATTAAAAACAATATTATGGAACTGAGTACACATTAAGGGAAATATGGAGTTGAGTACACATTAAGGGCGATATATTGGAGTTGAGTACACATTAGGGACAATATTATGGAGATGAATACACATTAAAAACAATATTATGGAGCTGAGTGCACATTTAAGGGCGATATAATGGAGATGAGTACACATTAAGGGAAATATCATGGAGTTGAGTACACATTAAGGGAAATATTATGGAGTTGAGTAAACATTGAGGGCAATTTTATGGAGTTGAGAACGCATTGAGGGCAATTTTATGGAGTTAAGTACACATTAAAGGCAATTTTATGGAGCTAAGTAAACATTAAAGGAAATATTATTATGTTGAGTACACATTAAGGGCGATATAATGGAGTTGAGTACACATTTAGGGCGATATTATGGAGTTGAGTACACATTACGGGCAATATTATGGAGTTGAATACATATTACGGGCAATATTAATTTTGTGTTATTGATGAGTGTATCATAGTTCGTAAATGACTTGACACTTGTTCATTTGTTTTAGCTGTTATTTAACAGTTTATAAGACAATATGAAAAGCTATGATACCAAAACTATTGGTATGGTATCTTTATGTCTGTTAGCGCGGGGTACCAAGTGACCGAGTGGTCTAAATTGCTCACCGTTACAGATCACTGCCATCTCACCTCTGTCAAGGATAGTGTGGGTACGTGAGAAATCTTGCTGGCAGTTTCTCATGGGTCGGTGGTTCTTTCCGGGGTTTTCCCGGATTCTTCCTCCACCATTAATACTGGCCGCCGTGTATAGCCTATCTTGTGCTGAAAATGGCGTTAAACCATATAACAGCAGCATTTGTTAACGCTGTCGTGTGGTGTTGTAAATTCATTGTCCCCACATGTCCTTCTTTGTCTGCATTGTCCCCACATGTTTTAAAATACGGTATCTTTTCTAATTTGTCCATTTGTCGTTTAGTTCATTTAAATAGTTTTTATTTCATAACAAGTCTAAGCGCATCATACCCGTCAAATAATTTGTCTTGCATGACAACAAAAGAATTTCTGCGCATTACAAACTATACCTGAAGAAAAAAGTCTTTGTTCCTGTGTTTTGTCTCTGAATTTGATTTAAACGTTTCCTGACAATAGAATAAACTTAACGTATTGAACCAGAAGTGTGACATTTCTATATAGTTTCAAATTTGCAATGAAGTTCGCGATAGATAGATAGATAGATAGATAGATAGATAGATAGATAGATAGATAGATAGATAGATAGATAGATAGATAGATAGATAGATAGATAGATAGATAGATAGATAGATAGATAGATAGATAGATAGATAGATATGTATATGTATATGGCCATGAAACAAGAAGACTGATTTGGCTTTAGATGAATAAAAAATCGTGAGGATTAGAGAATGAAAAACTATTTAATACATTGAAAATCACCAACCTATAATATTTATAATGAAATAGTTACTTTGTCAAAACGCTCAGAAATTTTGCATTTGTCATAAAGTGGTTTTTTAAAATTTCCTTAGATTCATATCAATCCCTAGCCTCTTTATGAATTTAAAACACTTATTTACGGTTTTATCTTCGAATTCCCCTGACGCTGTTAAATTATATGCAAAGTCAAAACTGTTAATGTAAATTGATGTGTTTGTGATTTAGATTTTTAACGTAGCTTTAACAGTTTCTCAGTCCTATCGCAACGATGTTTGCAGTGTGACAGTTTTATAGTGATGTTTCGGACTGGGGCATCATGCCGCAGGCATGTAGCACGATGTCTCACCCAGTCATATTATCCTGACACCAGGCCGACCAGTCCGAACACCAAACTCTTAATACTGAGCGTCAAAGCAAGGCAGCTGTTATTACCATTTTTTAAAGTCTTTGGTATGACTAGGCTGGAGTTCGAAACCGCAACCTCCCACATCCGCGGCGGATGCTCTAACCATTAAGCTACAAACTGTTCATGAAAAAAAGTTCCTACAATGAACTGGCCAATGCAAGGATAATATATCTGTAAGACTTTTAAATCCTTTTGCTGTCAGATTATCAGCTGTATCCTTGATGCCGAAAGTTAAAATCGTTTTACCAAATTAGCCCTATGACGTCGTTGTAAGTAATGAATTATTAATTATTATTTTAATTTTGTGAAACAAATTTTCATAACATTTGTTAAATATCAAACACGAAAACATCAAATACTTTTTCAACAATGATAATTTGAAAATGATGAGCTGATTTTTTGATCACAGATAAATTAGTCATGAATGGGGGTCAAAACTCCTTGGCGTGTTTTTTTTTTTTTTCTTCACGTACAATTAATAAAATCTTATATCAGACAAAAGTCACCGTAGCTATTGATACCAGTCATCCGGGAACATTCAACTCTGTGAATTGGACGGAATGAGGGGTAGGATTACATATATTAAGAAATATGACACGTGTGTTTCACAACCGCTCACGTGGGTAAAGCGGAATATTTTATCTCCTTATCTATTCGTCAGAGATAAGAACATATAGGTAGCAAGCACGAAACTGATGGGCAGCGTACGAGACGCGGAGTGTCATCCTCTGACTGAACTGAAATGGTCGCATTAGGTGGCTTCAATTAAAAGTTTGTACACAGTTTCATCTACCATCTTATCAGCTTCCTTTAAACATAATCCAAGAGGCTGACAAACTTTGCACAAAAAATTCTAAATCTTTATCTTCCGTTTAATCGTAAAAATTCAACAATAACAGTTATGTTGTGCATACGTATACGAGGCATACACTAAAATGAAAGCATACAATAAAGCAAAATATTATCCATGCACAAAAAAATCATTGACTATCATACCTGAAATAAAATCTAATATGACCAACACTTTTTTGAAACTTAAGTTATATATATATATATATATATATATATATATATATATATATATATATATATATATATATATATATATATATATATATATATATGGTAAAACAATATAATATGTGGATGTAATAAATTTTATCACGATACGAATACAAATCTGTTTTTCGTCGCATAATAGCAGAAGTTGTAAGAATTTATTGATGTGCGGAAAATCTGAACGTTTGGACAACGCAAATGCCTTTCTTTCAAAGAACTCCTTTCTTGCTTAATTATTTCTCAAGTACCTGTCAACACTTTCCCTTAGGTCTCAATGCTTTACTTAATAAAACTGAAATGCTGAGACTTGTTAAAACTCGAAAAATTCATTAAGAAAGAAAGAAAGAAAGAAAGAAAGAAAGAAAGAAAGAAAGAAAGAAAGAAAGAAAGAAAGAAAGAAAGAAAGAAAGAAAGAAAGAAAGAAAGAAAGAAAAAGATAGATAGATAGATAGATAGATAGATAGATAGATAGATAGATAGATAGATAGATAGATAGATAGATAGATAGATAGATAGATAGATAGATAGATAGATAGATAGATAGATAGATAGATAGATTTAGGCTACCGGACATTCACGCACAAGATGTCAGCCTGTTCTTTTGTTTATTGTGCAAAAATCTGATTATGGACTGCTACTTAAACAAATGCATGATCTTCGGTATAATTTCACCAAGATCAAAAACCAGCTTTGTTCTTTTCGTTCACTACCTTTTTAAACTGAAAGTTGCAAATCGAAGAACAAAGACTGGGTGCAAAGTGTGCAGGCTGGTTGTGATAGGAATCTATTGTAAAGCATATAATATATAAATGCATAAAGCGAATCGAATGTCTTTTGAACGACACGAATTACTCCTATTCATATTTACACTAATGTTCCTAACAAATAGTACTGTGATATTTAAAAATAACAATTTTCTCTTTCTACACCTTATTATCCCTTAAATATTTGGAGTTAAAAAGCATGTTCACCCGTTATTCTCAAAAATAGTGGATTCCATTCAAGTTGGGTCGCTATTCAAAAGCATTTGAAGCGTCTATTACTAGCGGGGTGTAAGAGGAGATGTAAAGGCTTTGGTAAACAATTTATTTTCCGCCCCGTATATTTAATTTAAACTTGTGTAGCTTTCTTTTCCCACAAAAATATCAAGAAGTTTACGAAAAGATGTAAAAACAAATTCCGAACATTATTAAGTATTGAACCATTGATATATAATTAAGCTGTGTTAAAATATGTGGTTTTAGGCATAGAAACTTGTATATCTCCTTCACTTTTCTATACTGGTAAATAAATAAATAAACATATAAATAAATAAATAAATAAATAAATAAATAAATAAATAAATAAATAAATAAATAAATAAATAAATGTTATCGGTTCATCAGTGTTAAATTAACGTTCGGCTGTCATCTTTTGTAGCCAAAATTTTCGTCCTTTCAACAATCACTTCTGGCCTTTTTTGATTAATGGCTTCCAAGATATTTTATCTATTACCATTTATAATGAATTCTCAATTCTTGTGTCACTCTATCCATACATTGATTTGAACACACGGTTTTATAATTTTACATCATTAATTTTACATACGTACTTAACTCATAAGTCCATAACAGTAAAATACTAAAACATGGTTTAGACGAGACATGATCATGTGATTTGCAACAAATAAAGAAACAATGGCGAATTCGTCCTTTTGAACGTCAAAATCTGATCGTTTGTGAGCTTTTAAGCAGCAAAGACTGGTGTCGTATTTCGTAGCAAATATATTAGGTTTCGTACCTGTGAAATACCTTATGAACATGTTTATGATTATACTTGGAGAGATACCTACCAACCTACATACATTCAAACACATACCTACCTACCTACCTACCTACCTACCTACCTACCTACCTACCTACCTACCTACCTACCTACCTACTTATCAACCTACCTACCTGCCTATCTACCTAGCTACCTATAGCTACCTATCTAACTTCCTGCATACATACATACATACATACATACATACATACATACATACATACATACATACATACATACATACATACATACATACATACATACATACATACATACATACATACATTCATACATACATACATACATACATACATACATACATACATACATACATACATACATACATACATACATACATACATACATACATACATACATACATACATACATACATACATACATACATACATACATACATACATACATACATACATACATACATACATACATACATACGAACGTACGAACGTACGAACCGAACGTATCTCAAAACCTATTGTGATTCGAAAAGAGAATAAAGCCATTGCAAGCACTGTTATTCGCCTGATTCGAAGGAGAAAATGAACGTGATGAGAACATGAAAAAATCGAATAGGATAATTTTATTTCCTGCAATTGGATATACTTCAAGCATAGAGACATACGCTGAGATAGATAGATACATGCTGACCTTTCTGATCATCATCGTGACATACTAAACTAAATCTAATTTTAAAAATGAGCTGAAATAAATCGAGGTGATGCAGAAATCATTGTATGAACCTAAAAATCTGCAGGGTTCCGATCAGGAAACCCCCGGTGGCCGAGTGATTTAAAGCGCTCACAAAAATTTTAACCAATCATTGTCATTTTACCACTGTCCCCGTAGGTTCGAGACTTGGCCAATGTGGGCATGTGAGAAAGCTATTCAGTAACTTTCCGGCGGTTCTCTCGGTTCTTCTTCCACCAGTTATACTAGCCTTTATGTGTAGCCTATCGTGTGCTGACAAATAGCGATAAACCCACAACAGAAAAGGTCGAATTAAAGAAATTGAAACGTTGTGCCTCGACATTTAGCGCAAACCAAATTATCAGTTCAATAAATCACATTACTGTCACCCTGTGTATCTGAAAATGTTGTTTTATATTAGAGTTGAATTTTGTTATTCAGCCTGCTCAACAATTTATCATCTCTAATGTCGGTATTTTTAAACAGTGTGGCAACAATTCAGTTCTATAAATTTTATTTTATAATTCTAGATACAGAGAGTGGGAAGGAATTATTAATGAAATGCAAACAGAACTATAAAATATGTTTCTGTTTGTGTGCTTGCTGACTGTTTACTTTTTTAATCGATCGGTTCAATTGATTATGACCGATGCAGAATGGGTTGAAGAAAGTCATGATTTTGATTTCAAATATGTTGCTAATGAACGAAGCGAATTCTTCAGACCTTTTTTTTACAATGAAGGAAGAATGGGAAATAAAAATAAAAACAAATCTCTTTCTTGCAACTTTCTATATTCATAATTTTAACAAATTACGCCTATATAGAACATTCTAATCTGATTTCAGATTTTGTTCAAAAAAATACATCTACATGAAAGATGTATGGATAACTAATTCTGTGTTTTGATTGGGTAGTTTTTGTGTCACATGATTTGACCGGGATACTGGAATATTTATGAGCTGTCTGTGACTGTACATAAATTTAAAACATATTCTTGGATTTGACTTTAAAATTTAGAATGTATATAAACACTGATCGAATAAACACACATTTTGTCCTTACTTTTGAATAAATGTACTGTTTGCATAGCAAAGATCAATCATTCTGCTTTTTGTCGATATAGTTCAATGGCAAACATATAATGAGATGTCAGTTTTCTTTATACAGTTTTCTTAATACAGTTTTCTTCTGACGTCTCTGCAATATTTAAATTCGTTTTGCTTCATATCCTTTTTGCTTATGTATGTGTTTATGACCCAAATCATGTGGCAGTTGATATCTTTCTCACATCCTTCACTATGCTGATAATGTTCAATTTAAATTTTAATTCATGTTAATCAGTTTGTCTTTTTGCCTCTTTCTTATACACATTCATACGTTCCTTACACACACATGTGAGTGCGTATGGGAACCTGAGCACAAAGTAGAGGATATCGGACAACTATGTTCTATTTGTTTTCCTTTCTTTTAACGTCGCTTTTTATATATTATTGTGTCGTTTTAAGACAATGAACTGACTTTCGTAAGAACACATGCATTCAAGCCTGGTTGGT